TGTCTTCACTTCTTTATCAAAGTGAAACTAATTTTATCTTAGTGATCCAGTCACTAGTGAGAAATGCACGCCTGTGGTTTTCTACTTCTTTTGGAAATCAAGGAGGGATTTCAGTGTCACCAGCAGCTGATGCAGCTTCTCATTCCCTTCTTTCAGGTGTCACTGCACCAGTCACACCCTGCAGCCTGGCATCTGCAGCCTCTTCTCCTGCCACGGGGACGGAGCTGAACCGGCCACACCCATCTGCGGTCCCCGCCCCGGTTCTCACAGAAACCAAGTGACGCCAGGTCCCGCGGGGAACCAGCTGGGAGGCCACGGCGCTGTGAAGCAGGGAGAGCGGGAAAGAAAAAGAGATCGAGGACGACCTGTGAGGAAGATGATCGCCCTCTTCTTTGTCCCTCCCTCTCTTCGCTTTACTGCCTCTCCGATAGGCCCCCCAGCCAGTACCCCGCCCTGCTCGTGGGAGAGCAGAGGACTTTACCGCCACCCCACCGATTCAAGCCACCATTGTCATACTGCGCACCCACCAGGATGTCAGCGTAAAACTCGTCCTGCCACAGCCACAGCACACCCACGGTCTCACACTGGGGATGTTCACACAGTTGGCTTTGATCATTACCTGATAAAAGGGTGTCCACTGCTCCACGTGTGAGCTGCAGTTGGTGGTTCACGGTGGAGCTGCTGGTGTCATACAAGTTCAACCTTCCCATTCAATCTGATCTTTCCCACATCAATTTATTTAGTTCTTTTTTCCGACTTAGGTTTGACTGTTGGCAAACAGATTGTTTTACTTTTATTAACTGCTGTTAAATTTAAAGATGCTATGTGTAACAAACATATCATTGTCAAATTGATATTGCTACCTTGGCATAATTAGTGTAACCAAATGAGACAATACCCAAGATGAACCACATGTAGTTCCTCTTTATTAATAGCTGTTGTTGTGTTAGGATCTAAATTAGAACCCAATCGCCATCATCGCCAGATGCAAATCTCACTTCCTGTTAATCAAACACATCTCCCTGCCAATCTGACCTGGTAATTGTGGAACACAGAAAACAGACGGTCATTGTTTTTTTTAAACACAAATGATGCAGATGTAGCAAATTCATGTTGACAGTGGTTTATCCGTGTAAAAATGCCACACATAGCACCTTTAAGACATTTGTGTGTCCTTATGGGCTTGGTTGTCTGTTTGTTTGTTCGTGCTTTAAGAAGTGCTTTAAAAGTACCATATGACTGTTGAGATCTGGAAACATGAGTAAGCGCTTTATCTATTTTGCACAGAAAGGATCAGACATAGATTAGCTGCCATTCACATGTGTTTATCAGAGAGAGTAGAGATTGTAAACCTTTATTGATTGGATGTCAGAGCATTATACAACTTGTTTATTGTCTGAAAGATTCTGATTTGTTTATTATTTTCTTACTTTATTAAACTTTTATAATAATTGCCCTTTAAGGGACACACATAATGGTTATTATGAAACATGGAATAAGTTTAGGATAGAATTAGAACACATAGAGATAAGTATTTACTGGAAAACACGTCCAGGTAAAAAAGTCAGAAACTAAAGATGGATTGTCATTAGACTTCCCAAGGAGCTACAGGCAGCGCAGCATAGTTACTAAAGGCCTGGTGGGTCCTCAGAGACACAATCCAGGATGGAGAAGCTGTAGCCTGCCGTCGTTCTTTATGTCTCTACCGAAGCCATGATCTCACCTTCTTTATTTGTCAAGCTGCACCCAGTCCAGAAGTGCTCAGGGAAAACTGCAGCTGCACTGTGCGCTGGTGAACACCAGTTTCCTGATTTAGTCTTTTTATTTTTGGGGTTTGTCACAGTCC